AAAACCACTGCTTTTATGTCTTCTTCATCTCGGGAGGCTTTTTCAGTTCATTCATAACAATTTGCTCTTGTATAATGTTAATATTATTAGCAGCATTATTTATTATATCCATATTTATATTTGTTTTATTAAAAACAAGCTTAGATTTGCCCACCTGTCAGGTTTTAGACCATATGGGGCACAGCATGTGTTTTAGGATATAACTCAGGTTTTAGAGCACATTTTGCTATTATTATTCATTTATTCGTTTGCTGGAAATTAGAACTGAATTTAGAAATAGTTTTGAAACTAATATTTGCGCTTAACAAACAAAAGTATTTATTTATAGACTAATTGATGTCTGTGCGTAAAGGTTTCCCTATCCAAGAGCGAAAGTGAAAGTGATCCATTATCTCTCATTCTCACGCAGTAGATGCTCTGTTTAACAGTTTTCTGTTAAAAAACTGTTAACGGTTTGCTTGTAAAATGCTCATTTTTTCCACTTAGACTTATTTTGCATCCTGTAAATGGCGAATGCGCTCTTGGCGCGACGCAGCTGGGTCTTAAAGGTAATGGGAAATAAGATTCTAATTGGTTTATTCTCAAAACACACCTATAACTCATTAAGAAAATAAACTCAACCCTTTTAGAACATGCGCCGCGGCGCAAGGCAGATTTCCCGTCCTTAAATTAGCAAAGACGCGTCCTGACACGCCCTGAAAGCTTGCGCCCTGCGTTTTGCGCTCTGCGCATGGACCATCAAAATAGAGCCCTTAGACTTACTTTGCGCCCTGTAAATAGCGAATGCGCTCTTGGCGTGACGCAGCTGACTCTTAAAGGGAATGGGAGATGAGACTCTAATTGGTTTATTCTTAATACACACCTACAACTCATTAAGAAAATAAACTCAACCCTTTTAGACCATGCGCCGAAGCGCAAGGCAGATTTCCCGTCCTTAAATTAGCAAAAACGCGTCCTGACACGCCCCGAAAGCATTTGCTCCCTGCGTTTTGCGCTTTGCGCATGGACCGTCAAAATAGAGCCCTAAGCCTCACAGTGTGAACGTAGCTTTACAAAAATACCGTTCGCGACACACACATTAACATTTACTGACACTATGAGGCCCTGGTGATTATAGCGGTTAAGAAATACACAGTGATTTTACTCTTTATTACAAACATGCTGTTTTTAAAAAAGTTTTAAAACTATAAAACTTATAAAAATCAAAGAGAGATGGAGCAAATATTTGAATCCCAGTTTATTTGCAAAGACAATCTTCTGTGGACGTGTATACATGTTATTATAGAAACATTTCCCAGGCAATTAATTCGATGGGCAGAGAAAACCGCACTTGTATGTATCATTTGGGTGAGCCTCAATATCTCTGGGATTTCTATCACTTACATATGACAGTGGACACACTATACAGACAGTTCTGTCCAAACAGCTTACAAAAGTTGATTTTCACCATAGGTGCACTTTAATCCATTTATTATGGCCCGTTTTCACTGACTGGTAAAGTACTATGGAAGGTAAATCCTGCCAATTTTAAATAAATCAAATAAAAATTGAAAATAAAAATCAGATTAACAATTTCATTTTAAAACATTGTTCGCAAAATATCTGCCAAAATTGAAAACGAAATGAAATTATTTAATTTTTATTTTCTCTTTGACAACACATCGTCCCTGTCAAATTGATAATTAAAATAAAGTTGCCAATTTAACATTTAATTTTCACTGCAATTCCAGGTCAAGACTGCCAATATTAAAATAAAAAGCCTAACTGAAAAATAAAATGCAAACACCATTTTTAAAAAGCGTGTTATTAATGTTCACGCTATAATAGTGACACAATTCAAATTAAAATGTAAATTTAAGCATTCCTTTTATTGACACTTTTTTTTTTCATTTCAGTTTTCATTGTCGATTTCATTTTTAACTTCAAGCTGTATGCAAAGCCTATGCTAATCAGTGGGAGGGGTGTATTCAAGTGACGTCGAGTGCTTTCACACACAGAGCCTGAGGGCAGAAGCACTGTTTTGATGGATGGGACAGCGTGAGTTACTAGTATAAATACAGTATAACAGAAGTAAAATGGCAAAATCTGTTAGTCAGCTTTTACGTGAAGCAGCTGCTGCATTGGTACAGCAAGAGGAACAGGGGACACAGGAGAACCAAACGTTAAACTTCCGTCCCGCAGCAGGAGACACAGGCTTCCTCGGTGGGCAGAGAAACTGCAGCATAAGTGCGGTAGGCCTTGTGATGAAGTCGTATAGTAGGCCTATACTGTATTAGGTCTTGTGACGTTAACAACTTGTTAGTACTAAAATCTTTGAAAGACAGCTACATCAACTCGGTAAAGTTGGTTTTAGGTTTGATTTTCCCCAGACAGTCATGCACGTGTTACAGGGTGCATGAGGTAAGTGATGGTGATTGACGTCTGCAATGACCAATCAGTGCAGAGTACGCCCCTGTGTGTGTGTGTGTGTGTGTGTGTGTGTGTGTGTGAGTGAGAGTGATGGCTAGGGCTATGGCTTCCAGGTAAGGTGCAGTTAGCTTAGCGGTTTGCTAATTGTTTAGTGGCTGGGGGTTAATGCTGACCCTGTGTTGCATTCCAGCCTGCCTGGTGTATGTGTGTTTCCATCAGTGTTTTGACTGATTGGATGACTGACTGCCCCACTGTCAGTTTGTGTGGTTGAAGACTTTTTATATCAACCGGTGAATTTGATATAAGAGCACCTCATTCATGGTTGGTAAGTGTTTGCATGTGATTGTAAGTAGGAGTGTTATCCAATGCAATTATTTGTAACAGTGTGTGGATGTGTGTTTGTTTGTTATAGGACTCTCCTTCTCGTTCAGATCATAAATGTGCCCACATTTGTCGCTGCTGTTAAAGAACATTTATGCTACAATCCAGAAGCATTTAATGCTATCTTCTAGGTGATGCTAGTGTCTGAGTACTGACTGAACTCTGTCAAAACCTCTTTTTATTGTATTTGAAAGAAAATAGAAGGTTCAGTTGCGTTCGCAGATACGGGGCCGTCAACATTGAACAATCTGTAATCAATGTGATAAACTTTTGTCCATGTTCAAATGCACCAAAGGGTATTCTGTGAATCTTCCTTTCCTGTGACTGTCTAGTTCATTAATCCATTTCAAAAGACCCTCATTATTACTCTGTATTGAGTTCTGAATGACTGACTTTTGTGTCTGTGCTTTGTGTAAAATTTAACCTGGTTGAGAGAAGCCCTTTTCCCATTGGTGGCTCTTGGTATTATTTTCTTTCTGTTTCTTGCAGGAGCTGTGGGCCCACAGGTGAAGGAACCTTTTTGGTGGTGGTGCTGCTGTGCCAGTGTGTGTTGTGGGACTCTTCTGATGCATCAGGGTGTGTGACAGGAGTGTGTTGTGGTGAAAGTGTATGGCGTATAACTTTGTCACGGGTGATCACTCCTGTGGGTAGCCCCAGTCCTGTGAGTGAATGGCTCTATTTGGGAACATTGATTTGGAGAGTATGATATTGAGTATTTTCTGTGTGTGGGTTGAATGTTAACCACTTTCAGTGCCTTATGTTAGTAAGCCCTTCATAGCTGGCTGGTCATCAGGACCTATTTTAGTGTGAACCTTTTTAAAGAATTGTAAATAAACTTTTGTATTTACTCATGTCTCCTGTCTGCTCCTTAAACTGAAAAGAGACTAATCTGTGCGACCTTTTAATATTTTTCCTGGGTTTGAATCTTTCCTGGGTTTCGGTTCCAAAACAACATAGCCCACAGTCAGTGCAAACCTCATCTGTGTCTGTAATCTTCACCAGCGCATGTAAACTTTTTTAGAGAGTAACTCTGTCATTCCGAGTACATAATAGTCCAAATGGCGACGATAAACATGGCAGCTTGTTGATGATTCAGGTTGCTAAAACAATTTGCTCCTGTGTTTTGGTGGGCTTCTCCTTTGTTTGTTTGTGATTTCACTCTCGCGTTTGTCCTTTTCTTTCTAATAGGATCAGATGACGAAGACACTTCACCACTCGCACTTTTAGACAGCCTTGTAAAACATGTCAGGACACGGCAACTTTAGTTCTTTCTTTCTTTGTGTCTGTACATCAAGACAACGACAAGGTTTGTTTGAGCTTGGGTCATCCATGGCTTGTTATTATATGCATATAGTATTTTGGTGTAATGTCTCGGGTGAGTATTTAAAACATAGCCATTCCTTGGTTTTTATTCTGGCTAGCTCCACACGAGCTTGTAATGTATCTTTGTAACCAATTAGCGCGCAGCTGTGCGTGTAGCTCCACCTTTCTCGTGTTTGGTACCCTTTCGAAAGGGTGCTGAATAAGTTGTACGGTACGCTACTGAACCGTACCGTACCATACCACTCAGTGGAAATGGGCCATTAAATAAAAATCAATGCATTTGTAGAATCTATTTATGTTCTTTCAGGTTTGTCACATTATTTTGAAAATATATTAGTTTATATATATTTTTTTTTTTTTTGGTAAATTGTGTAAGGCATTTCAGTAATGAGAAAAATCCATCAAAATAAAAATAACTTTACATGACTGTTAATAATCCAATTTTAAAAACAAATTTTAAACAGAGCTGAAGAGTGCAGACTGTTTATTTTGGAAATTTTGTTCAAAAAAGTTTTTGCTTCACTTTTGCCACAATTGCCTGGCTCGCTAGTTTGAACCTTGATTTGAAAATATACTTTTGTTTTTAGCGTGCTAACACCAAATGACACATGGAACAATTTTTTATAATAAAGAAAACACAACAAAATTGTAATATAGTCAATCAAAAGAGCTTTTCAGATACATGTCTTGAACAAGGTGTGCTTTTAACAACATTTGTTTTAAACCCAAATAGACAAAGATTATTATTATTTATTTTCAGTTGTCTAATATTACTTTATGTCAAAAACCTTTCTCACTTTTCTATCATTCCAAAGTTGGAAATTGACTTTTGTTTTAATAGTATTTTTTCAAACGCTCTACCAAAGTTTAAATAACAAAACACTCACTTGTATATCAATACTTTATTTAAAGATCACAATACTTTAAAAAGGAACATTTTTTTTAGTTTGTGACTAAAACCATTGAAGATCAACATGTGGTTCCAGCCTTCATGTCCCATCCAGAATAAAACGAGTGGATCTGGCTTAGCATTTGCCCAATTTGGAAATTAATATGATGTCCCTTTTCTCTCTGCAAAAAGATGGTTAGTTTAAAAGGAACATTTAAACAAGTATAAAGACTAAACATAACAAACTTGATTTAGGGCTACTTACAAAATTCCCATACACAGCACGCACTCATTTGGGTATGTTTTTCCATCGGTACCACACACCGGCTCATAGTTCCGGGGGCACATGACTGCGTATTGAGCGCAATTTGGCTTTAAATAAAAACATACAAAAAACATTAAATGTATGAAAGTTAATATACATTTAAAATAATGTGTAATAACATATGCAAATAAATACATTATAGTTAGTGAAAGGCAAAAAAGAAAGAAAGAGAGCATATTGCTCAACATACCACTGTAGGACAATCATCAGCTGCACTTGCCATGGCTGTTCACAACAACACAGAAGTGAAAAACAACTATTTAAGTGTATTCCTACACAACTATTGTAGTTTATACTTTCAAGTAATGACTAACATCATTATTATTCCCACAAAACATGCTGGAAACATCAAACTTTGATGCTCCCTTTGATGTTCCTTGATTGTCAAAATTAGTTTAAACTCACCAGCCAAACAAAGTACAAGCACAATCTGCGCCAGCATCATTTTTTTGTTTACAGTGACGAGTAGACAATGTAATTTAACACTTTCACATGCGATGGCCTCCTTTTATTGCACTTTATTTCCCACCCACTGACCGGTGTTGTGAAATATTCTTGTGAAAATATGTTCTAATAGGAGTTTGTCACGGTTGCAGGTTTGTGCGCTTTTCCGGAGTGTATGTTTGATCACGTGGGTTTGTTTTGTTTTGGTTGTCCATGTGTATTTGTTATGCTCACGTGACATGACGACTATCAGCGGGGCTGATTACTCACCAGCTGAGGCTCATTATTAGCCCTATATCAGGGCGACGTTTCTATGTCTCATTGTCAGTTCGTTACATCTGTTCTCATGTGTGTTATCTGTGCTCAGGCCCCTGAGGAGATATTTCTGGACCCTGTTTTTCCTGTCTGTTCCTGCCCTGTGTTCGTCGTCCTCCTAGCCTGTCACTTCCCTGTTTGTTTATTTTGACTTGGTCAAATAAACCTTATTTTCACTTGCATTTGGATCCTATTTTGACTCTTATTTTTGTTGAACGTGACAGAACGAACTGACCTTATTATGGATCCAGCGAGTGCATCCCAAATCTCCGAGTTCGTCTCGCACAGCAACGCCAGGATAGACCGTCAGGATGAGGCTTTGGTCACTTCGTCACAGGCGATCCAGGCTCTGGTCGGCCAAGTGTCGCTGCTTTCCTCCCAAGTCCAGCGGTTGATCGCTGGAGCTGCACGGGCTGACTCGGCATCGACTCCGGAGGTGACCCCGCCAGCGTCTGCGGTTGTTGGTCGCTCTGTTGAACCACGCCTTCCACCCCCGACCTGCTACTCTGGGGAGCCCCTCTTGTGTCGATCCTTTTTGTCCAAGTGTTCCCTTTATATTACGCTGCAACCATCATTGTTTGCCACCAAAAGATCCAAGGTAGCGTTTGTCATCACGCTTCTTTCAGGCAAGGCGGCCCAATGGGGAACTACAGCATGGGAACAAAAGTTACCATGCTGTGCTACCTTCGACCTGTTCTCCACAGAGTTAAAGAAGGTCTTCGATCGAGCCGCCTCCGGGAGAGAGGCTGCCCGAGTTCTTGCTGAACTCCGCCAGGGAAATCGCAGCGTGGCGGAGTACTCTATAGAGTTCCGGACCTTAGCCGCTGAATGCGGCTGGAACGCGGAGGCGCAATGGGACATGTTTTTGCACGGATTATCTGACCGGCTTCAGGATGAGATCTATTCGTTAGATCTTCCTAAAACTCTTGACGGGCTAGTTGACTTAGCTATCCGGGTTGACACTAGACTGCGCCGTCGAGAGAGTCGCCTGCAGCAAGGCGGGTTTTCGGAGCTCGTCCCTGACTTTCCGGTCCTGACTGCGAAACCGGAAGTGGTTGACCCGGAACCCATGCAGGTGGGTAGATCCTGCTTGTCCGTGCAGGAGAAGCGCCGACGGAGATCGGAGGGACTCTGCCTCTACTGTGGTGGGGCGGGGCATCGGGTGGTTTCCTGTCCCGTAAAAGACAACACCCATCAGTAGGCAAGAGGTTACTGATGGGTGAAATTAATATGGACAAATCCTCTACGTCTGCTACTTTACTGCCCGTCTCTTTATCATGGGGTTCCGGAACTCATAACACACAGGCGCTCGTCGATTCCGGGGCGGAAGGAAACTTCATTGACTCTAGTTTCGCTTTCAGTTTCAAACTTCCGGTTATAGCACTATCACAACCCATTGCAGTACGCGCACTCAGTGGACTTTCCCTTCCCACTATCACCCACTCCACCAAACCCATAAAACTGATTACGTCTGGAAATCATGTTGAACACATTTCATTTTTTTTAACAGACTGTTCCAACTCACCAGTGGTTTTAGGTCATCCTTGGTTGATTCTGCATAAACCCCACATTAATTGGGGCCTTAATTCTGTATTCTCGTGGAGTGAGAAATGTCATGAGTCTTGTCTTTCGTCTGCTCGTTCTGCTGTCTCTTGTTCTGTGTTTCAGGAGGAGCGCATGGACCTGTCAAACGTGCCCAGTGAGTACCTCGACCTGAAGAGAGTGTTCAGTAAGTCTCAAGCTGCTTCTCTACCTCCTCATCGTCCCTATGACTGTGCAATAGACTTATTGCCAGGTACGTCTCCGCCTAAAGGCAAGTTATACTCTCTTTCTATTCCTGAGAGGGAGGCCATGGAGAAATATATTTCTGATTCTCTAGCGGCCAAGATCATACGGCCCTCTTCTTCACCGGCGGGGGCGGGGTTCTTTTTCGTGAAAAAGAAGGATGGCTCTCTTAGACCCTGCATAGACTATCGAGGGCTGAACAGCATCACGGTGAAGAACACGTATCCTTTGCCGTTGATGTCTTCAGCGTTCGAGCGTCTGCAGGGGGCTTCGTTTTTCACGAAATTAGATCTCCGTAACGCTTATCATTTGGTTCGCATGAAGCAGGGTCATGAGTGGAAGACTGCGTTTTTGACCCCCAGGGGGCATTTTGAATATTGCGTTCTTCCATTCGGGCTTTCTAATGCTCCTGCGGTCTTCCAAGCACTCGTAAATGACGTGTTGCGAGACATGATAGATCAGTTTATTTATGTCTACCTGGATGACATTCTGATTTTTTCTCGTTCTCTCCAGGAACATGTGCAGCACGTCAGGCGAGTGCTTCAGCGGCTGCTAGAGAATGGGCTTTTTGTCAAGGCGGAGAAATGCGTGTTCCATGCACAGTCTGTTCCCTTTTTAGGACACATTGTGTCAGTCGAGGGGGTGCGCATGGATCCAGAGAAGGTTCAGGCTGTGGTAAATTGGCCAATTCCGGAGTCTCGTAAGGCCCTGCAGAGATTTCTGGGCTTCGCTAATTTTTACCGGCGATTTATTCGCAATTTCAGCCAGCTCGCCGCCCCTCTGACGTCCTTAACCTCCGCCAAGACTCCCTTCAGGTGGTCGAGTGTAGCACAGGCTGCATTCACTAAACTGAAAGGCTGTTTTGTTTCAGCCCCCATTCTGGTGACACCTGATCCAGCCCGGCAGTTTGTGGTGGAGGTTGACGCGTCAGAGGTGGGGGTGGGCGCTATCCTGTCCCAGCGCGCCGCCTCGGATGACAGAATTCATCCGTGCGCGTTTTTCTCACATCGATTATCTCCCGCAGAACGTAATTACGACATTGGTAATCGGGAGTTGTTGGCTGTCAAACTCGCATTGGAGGAATGGCGTCACTGGTTGGAGGGTTCGGGGGTTCCCTTTATCGTTTGGACCGATCATAAGAACCTTGAATACATCAGGTCTGCCAAACGACTTAACTCCAGGCAGGCTCGGTGGGCATTATTCTTCGGACGTTTTGACTTTACCATTTCTTATCGGCCGGGTTCCAAAAACACCAAACCCGACGCGTTATCCCGTCTTTTTGATTCTTCCGAGCGCAATCCGTCTCCTGAGCCCATCGTTCCCCAGAGCATTTGTATTTCTGCGGTGACATGGGAGATCGAGAGCAGGGTCCGCACAGCCCTGGATGGGGTAACGCCCCCGGCCGGATGCCCACCCAGTCGTTTGTTTGTGCCGGAGGAGATTCGGTCTGACGTCATTCGGTGGGGACATTCCTCCAAAGTGGCTTGTCATCCGGGGGTGAGTCGTACTTTATTTTTGGTTAAACAGCGATTTTGGTGGCCAGCTATGGCACGGGACATACGCGAGTTTGTTTTGGCCTGTTCTGTTTGTGCTGTTTCTAAGACTTCTAATCGCCCCCCTGCTGGACTCCTTCAGCCGCTGTCAGTGCCTTCGAGACCCTGGTCGCACATTTCGCTAGATTTTGTCACTGGTCTCCCGCCATCCAGTGGCAATACGGCTGTTTTGACCGTAGTGGACCGGTTCTCGAAGGCTACTCATTTCATTCCTCTGCCCAAATTACCCTCAGCCAGAGAGACAGCGGATGCTGTCATTAATCACGTCTTTCGCATTCATGGCCTCCCGACGGACGTGGTTTCTGACAGGGGGCCCCAGTTTGTCTCTAAATTTTGGAGAGAATTTTGTCATTTATTGGGAGCGACTGTAAGTCTTTCTTCTGGTTTTCATCCTCAGAGTAACGGACAAACAGAGAGGGCCAATCAAGATCTCGAGCGCATGTTACGTTGTTTGGTTTCCCAAAATCCCTCCTCTTGGAGTCAGCAGCTCCCATGGGTGGAGTACGCACACAATTCATTACCAGTGTCGGCTACGGGCCTCTCTCCGTTTCAGTGTAGTCTAGGTTACCAGCCACCAGCTTTTCCCAGTCTGGAATCCGAAATCGCGGTCCCCTCCGCCCACGCCTTTGTCCAGAGGTGTCGACGCACTTGGAGCAGGGCCAGACAGACCCTCCTCCAAGTGGGTGCGCGCACTAAGGCTAAAGCCGATCGCCACCGGTCGAAGCCTCCCGTTTACGTCGTCGGTCAAAAAGTGTGGCTTTCTACTAAGAATATTCCATTGCGTTCCGTATGTAATAAACTTGCACCTAAATTCATTGGCCCATTCACTGTCATCAAGATCATTAGTCCGGTGGCAGTCCGCCTTAAACTTCCTCCAGCGTACAGGAGAATACATCCCGTGTTTCATGTTTCCAAATTAAAGCCCGTTTTTCATACGGCAATTAACCCGCCCACACCGGTTCCCCCCCCGCCGCGTCTCCTAGATGGGGAGACCGTTTATTCGGTTAAGCGTATTCTGGACTCGAGACGGAGGGGGCGAGGATTTCAGTACTTGGTGGACTGGGAAGGTTATGGTGCGGAGGAGAGGAGTTGGGTTCCTGCAAAGGACATACTGGATCACTCTCTTATTGATGATTACAATCGCCAGGTAAGCTCTTCTGGGAGCACCAGGAGGTGCTCTTAGGAGAGGGGTAATGTCACGGTTGCAGGTTTGTGCGCTTTTCCGGAGTGTATGTTTGATCACGTGGGTTTGTTTTGTTTTGGTTGTCCATGTGTATTTGTTATGCTCACGTGACATGACGACTATCAGCGGGGCTGATTACTCACCAGCTGAGGCTCATTATTAGCCCTATATCAGGGCGACGTTTCTATGTCTCATTGTCAGTTCGTTACATCTGTTCT